TCTGTCTTTTACATCTCTCTCATCTTTTCCAGGCTCTTTTTCTCCCTCTCTCCCTCTTTGGCTCTCTGTTTATAGGTGCATATGAATATCCGTTCAGTTTGGTGATTTATCCCTTAGCTCTTCCACTTTACTCTCCATCCTGTCTTCTTAAAAAAATCCCATCCCTCTCGCTATGTCTATCACTTGACTATTATTCATTCCTCTTTTCGCTCTGTAACTCTTTCTCTCTGTCTCTTGCCAACTCCGGCCCCCATTAACTTAGGTTTAAGCATTACAATCTGTGGCCCAATGGATGGAATTTCAGCTCCGTCGTCATTAAGTTCATATAAGACCATATTTAAAAAGAGCCAAAAATGTTAGGCAGAGACCCCACCAGCACCTCTAGTATCCTCACTTCATTTAGGCCTCATTAATGTTCATGAACCCACAGGTGAGGCTGCTGAATATGTATATCAGTGTCAGGCTATTAGAATGTGATCAGGAAATATGTGCATGCATATATCATCATAAGAGAGGTTATGATTGGTCGAAACAGGAATTTGATGAAGGGAAAAGAGAGGGGTGAAGTGGACCCTAGCGTGTTTTGTATCAAAAGACTTCACCCGGAGCAGCAGCATGAAACATAGATGAAAAATGAATTGAATTTCCTCTATATACAAAGAATGAAGGATAACATTCTTTGATACAATCTCGGGCTGTATTGTCCTCCTCTGAACTATCGGCCAAGCAGTTCTCCTAGCTCCTTTGAAGTCATCCTAACTGTGTGTGTGTGTGTGTGTGTGTGTGTGTGTGTGTGTGTGTGTGTGTGTGGTGTGTGTGTGTTGTGTGTATGTGTGTGTGTGTGTGTGTGTGTGTGTGTGTGTGTGTGTGTGTAGTGTGTGTGTGTGTGTGTGTGGTGTGTGTGTGTGTGTGTGGTGTGTGTGTGTGTGTGGTGTGGTGTGTGTGTGTGTGTGTGTGTTTTGTGTGTGTGTGTGTGTGTGTGTGTGTGTGTGTGTGTGTGTGTTGTGTGTGTGTGGTGTGTGTGTGTGTGTGTGTGTGTGTGTGTGTGTGTGTGTGTGTGTGTGTGTGTGTGTGCCCCCTCTGTACACTCCTCCCCCCCGGACTCAATTTTCTTTTCAACTGCTGTGCTCCACAGTTGTGTTGCAGCTTTTGGGGTACACTTTGTTATCTGTCTTATCAAACGGGGCTGTTGTTTTGATCCTTTGTGTACTTACCTCCACTGATAAATACAAATAATAAAGACAGCCTTTTCTCAACTCTGCAGTTTCTGTAGCTATTAAACGAGACAGATTGGGCACACATGGGAAGGGGTGAGACGAGGGTTCAATGAGCCAATTAGTGACAGTACTGTGTGTGTTTGTGTGTACGGTAATGACACTACATGCCCAGCAAACTGCTGAACACAAATACTTCCAGTGGAGCTGAGATTGTAAAGGGGGGCAAAACCCTCTGGAGCTAATATCATCACATCTCCATTTCACCCAATATAATAATTTCATGCATTTTTCAGAGCCAGGATCAGAATTTCAATTGCATTTTATTTAATCATATAAACAAAGGGCTCTTGCCTTCTTTAATTGAGTCTGCTCTTTCTTACTGGAAAATAATATCTGTCAAGTCCAAAAACGTGATGAACGTACTGTATGCCATTGTTTTTCATAAAGACAATGTTGCCCTGGAAACCACAGAAGTACGTGACGAAGAGAGGCTGTCAACATTTATGCATCAAGGTTATTGTGCTGTAAACTCATGGTTTGTGCTGGTTGTATGAGGGTCCAATTAATGGGGTTCAGTTTATGTGTGAGTGTGACTTTAAATCTGGGTGGAGATTCGCAGGGTTTATTGATATGTTATAAATAGAGGGGATAAATAAATGAACGTCAGTAAGTGTGATTATTATATTGAATGTGATTTAAGTTGTATGGGATATGTGTGATCCTAATTGTTGTATTGCTGTTGTCCTTTTTCTTCTAAGGTTAACAACCTATTTGGATTTTTGATTAAATTATCAAAACTAGGAGTTGTTTCCGTTCATCTTGATTTCACCCATACTGTCGGGAGATAGACAGCACAGTTATCTTTATCATAAATAAATCAAATGTGTTTGTCTTTTACTTGATTTGACAGGGCTGTTTCCCCTTTTTCCTGTGGAGACAATTAACTGACCAAAACAAAATAGAGACAGGCTTGTGCATAAGGCCATGCAATTCCATTCTCACCGAGGCCAGGTTGAACTGGCACATACACTAATGCAAAGCAGTGAGATCCCCAATTATGGATTTGTTTTACTTTGTGGGTGCACCCTTGAGGCTTATTAAAAAAACACAGTGGCATAGAACATGTGATCACACTTCAAATAAGTATTGACAGCCTTGCTGACAAGACAACACATGCTCTTCTACAGCAAACTAAGTGACTCTTCTCTAATGAGTGTCCCATTAGCAAAAAAAATGACATACAACTTATAGAATTTGCAGCGTGTTTTCTGCTGCTTGCGACAGCAGAGGCATCGCTGTGACAATAGAGGGTTGCTATGCTGTAGCTGAAGGAAGACACCTCAATCTCAGAGGGAATGGACACGTGTCGAGGATGTGGCGAGCTGTTCTGTTTGTCAGGCGTTTCACAGTGAGAGGATTCAGGAGGGAGGGCAGACTTTAAGGTTGTTTCGGGACATAAAATGTACTGTACTTCACTTCCCTTTATTTCTCTTCCGTCTTGCTGCTCATTGCTCTTCCAATTCATTTGTCCCCCTGTCTCTGCTTGAGTGAGAGCAAGTTACGATACATTGTAATAGATCACGATGCTGCCTAATAGGGCTTGAATAATTAGACTATTTTAGCTTTGAAAAGGCATTTTTGTAAACACGGATACGACAACAGCCTTTCAGCCCCCAGTTCTCTCCTGGCTGAGGATTCAAACTTCAAATGGGAACGGCACAGAATTGCTTTGTCCTGTGCCAATCCAATCCTGCATGGTTCCACTTCAGGAGGTTTGGAGGTAATTCTACTGCAAAATAAAAGATTGCCAGGAATCCGCAGGGCTCGGGCTGTGATTCCGGATGGCGAGATTGTCAGGCTTCCTAACAAGTCTCCAGTGGGTAGCGAGGCAGTCATAAGGGCTTATTTCAGATGCTAGCTCAAAATGCCATTGCACGACAGGGTGGTCTGGAGATGCCTGCAGCAGTGCATCTTGTGAATACAACTAAATGGGTTCGTACTGTATGTATTGTGCAAATATGCAGAATCCGATATGATTTCAGAATGCACAGCAATCTGTTGGTTAGGGTGAGGTTTCCGAGGCAGATGGCTGTGACCCTAGGCAGTCTATCATTTCAAAGCGTGAGCTGGGAAGGGACATAATATTGGAGATGCTGAGGGTTGTTTGAGATCGCAGGAGAAACAGAGAGGAAAAAAACGAGTTTTATATCGAGTCAGACTTGTGTCAGTAAATCAATCAGAAAACAATCTTTACAAATACATATTCCTGATCAAGGCTGGGTATCGTCTGATATGTGTTACACCAATACAAAACACAAAACGTGGCTTTTTTGATATATTACACTGAAGATTTTTTTCCTACAAAACCCACTTTTCATTAGACAAAACAAAAAAAAACAAGAAGTCAATTAATTAAAGTAAACATAATTAAAACTCACTTACGTCTTCAAATAACAAAATCTGATCAGAAACAGTCTGATTTACAGAATAATGAGAATAAGAATTCAGCCAAAGCTTTTCGTACTATACTGGACATTTCCGAAGTCAGTTTTTAAAAGTATTGATTTTCCTCTTAAAATCTCCTATTACAAGTTACATGGATGGAACAATTGTCTTTTGTATTTATTTGTTGTTGCGTACATTACCAAACCACCCCATGTGCTTGTTTCTGGCAGACATAGGGGCTCTGATGCGATTAAACGGTTTCTCTTTCATTTTGGTGGGAAGAGGGTTGCATGTCTGCTGCTGGGATCAATTAAGGGAATTTTTTTCCCCAAATGTGGATCAGCCAACACTCAACTCTTGGCTCGCTGTCAGCGGGCCATGCCAACGATTCAAAATGAAATTGTTTGTTTTTACATCAAAGATAGTTAAAGTTACTGATGTGGAATGTGTCTACATTTATTTAAGCTGTGTGATATAGGTGTGAATGCAGATGTATATCCTGACATTATGTATGCTTGACATGCACAATACTCACGCTTGAGTGTTGTTTGATGTGATCTCTGTTTGGCTATGTTTCTTATCATATGTGTTTGATACATCTCATGTTAGGGCTGTGTGTGTGTGTGTGTGTGCTTTCTACATCCTCTGTGGTGAAACTAATCCGACCCCTGAAGCATTTGACAGCAGGGCCCTGGCCGCGCGGTCACACCTGATGTACCTGTAGCTAATCCTATCCCACAACCAATGTCACTGTAACCAATCCTGTCATAGCACTCAGGGCAGCCTCAGCTTCTTCCTGACATCTCAGTCACACCTCTGTATCATCTCCTCCCTGTCCTGTCTGCTCTCCCCCCATCCTTGCCTGACTTTATCCAAATGTGTTCCTTCTTCCTTCCTCCTCTTTTTGGCAGACTGTCAGATCGCCTGCCCCACTTTTGTCTTGCCTCCTGCCTAATAATATCCATAGCTCAAATTTACAATCCACCCCCCTCTCTTTCACCCTTGTCTCTTCTGCTGTTCTGCATCTTATCTTACATATCTACTTTGATACCAACAGACCTACTATCCCCTCAGCTTTTATTTGCATGACATTTCCCTTTCCCTTGTATGTCTTTCTTTCTTTTTCTTGTCACCTTCTTCACAAACCCACGCACCTCTGTCTCTTCCTACCCTGCTACCGCCAGAAATAAACCCTGCTACAGGTCGTTTGTCACAAAACAAAAATTGCATTGTGTACCTGTCTCCAGCGCTCACACTCTCTTGCACCCAAAGGAAACATTGTATGCTCTTGTTTTTGCCTTCCCTGTCTAACTCCCTCTCTTTCCTAATTCTCTGCAGAGAGCAAGCTGCGAATGCTAAAGACCAACCAGTCTCAGGCGTACCTGGAGGACAGTCGCGTCAGGATCAATTGCTCCATCAGCTCCCAGACCAGCCAGGAGTCCCAGCATGCTGTGTTCTGGTACGTGAGGCGCCCCACCGGGTCAGAAGCCGACGAGCTCCTGCTGAGAATTGAACGCTCGGGGGCCTTTGAGTACGGCGCCTACGCAGACGAGGAGAGGCTGCGACGCCGAGTGCAGGCCGAGAGGCTGTCCCCCCGTCTCTATGGGCTGACGCTGAACAGGGCGGAGAACAGCGACTCTGGGACGTACTACTGCCTGGTGGAAGAGTGGCTGAGTGACCCCGATGGAGCCTGGTACCGACTCTCCCGGGAGTCCTCTGGGTTCACACAGGTTCTGGTCAGACAGCCAGGTGAGCAAGCAAAACTACAAAATGTTTATTTATTCTCATAGCAGGGAACAGCAGCTGTCACTTGCATAGGAGCAGTTGACATTTTTTTTCAACTGCAACCTCAAAAATGCCTTGACCTCACCTTACCTCCCAATCCCACATGCTCTGCCTCAAGTCTGTCTCGCTCTGATGACACTACACCTACCCTGGGCAGAGCTCAGGTGGCAAAACATGGGTTAGAGTCATGCCAGCTGTCATATGCGTAGCCTGAGGGCAGAGCCTGGCTCAGACGGAGGACCTACTTGTCCAGTAGTCAAAAACGTCCAGAGCGCTCAGAGCCGTGAAGTACCTACTGCCTCCCAGACCCTGCCATCTTACCTCATGAAAGTAATCTTAAGTACACACCTCATATATATTTCTGTCCTTGAGAGAATTTCGACTTAAGACTGTATTCGTTCCCCACAGACTCGCTTCCCCTCCTTAACAATCAAACACCCTTATTTGTATGAATCTATTCCACACACCAGCTGAAGGTGACTTTCCCCCACACGTCTCTGAGAGCACTGTTCATCTGCCAGGTGTTGTGTTTATATTGCAGAATGAAATCAGCAATATGGCATCCGTCCAACTAAAACGTGAGGGCTGGTCACAAGCTAGCAGGGCAAGGAAAAGGCTTGTGTTTAATGTATACAGTGAAGCTAAGATTGCTGAGCTCTATTTAAGGCTTATCTTTGTGCAGGGGTCTTATTTATTTCATGCCTTTGTTTAGTCTCTCCTCAAAAGTTAACATTTAGTTATTTGTCGAATCCCACCAGAGGCCGGGTTTAGTCTTTAAGTCATCCTGAGGAAAGTGAAGTATACATTTTAACTTTTAATGATACATAAAGAGCTACATGCAATAACCAGCATATTCTGTAAAAACATCATGGATATTTATTAAGGTGCTTAAAACTGTATTTACCTAGGAAGCCTTCCAGAAAACTGCCTGTTGGGAGGCGAGATGAGAGGAGACGTGTGCCAGAACTCGCCTTTTTTTTCTGCTCTCCTGCTGTCCTTTCTGCTTCTCGTTTTGCTTTAACAAGAAGACCATTACAAACTGTGTGTGATAGGAGCCCAAGCAAGCCTGGTCTTCACTGCCATCTTTTTTTTTTAACTGCAGTGAAACTGGGTCATTATAGCGCCCCTGAAGGGTTCAGTCATACCAATACAGACAGACAAACACGCTAGCCTTGGGGTAGGATCTAACCTTGCTGGAAAGCTGAAAGACCGGTGATAACTGTGGGTAGCACTGTGGGATTTATTTATTTGTGTCTTTTGTTGGCACATTTTGAAAGTTTGACGCCCCTGTTTGCAGAACCATGTGGTGTTTATTTGAAGTTCAAAGTCTTAAGTGCCTACCACATTTTCCGAAAGGCCAAGTTGACATCTTTAAATTGCTTGTTTTGTCTAACTCATAGCAGAAACGCTGATATGTGAAGATGTTTTTCATACAAGTTTAAAACAAATCAGGAAATCCTTGCAAATCTGCAGACTAATTTCTCACTCTTCCACGTATCCATAAATCAACTTTGCATCTCAGCTCTCCTACAAAAAGATTATCTAAAATGCGCAGTTGATGTAGTTTCACTAAACTTTGAGATTTGGTGCTCTACCCCAAGAATTATTGTAGATTTTTTTTACATTAACCTCTTGGTTTCTCTTTCTTACCTCCACAGAGATTCGACTGCAGGTGGAGGAACTGGAGTCAAACGTGACTGTGGAGGAGTCGGCCTCTATCCGACTGGGCTGTAGCATTCCCTCACAGTCGTCCCGAGAATCCCGCTTCTCTGTGTCCTGGTATGTTGAGCGCTCCGATGACGAGGACAATGAACTAGGTGACGAGGAGAGAGAGTGTGTGTTCTCCATCGGCCATGATGCAGTTTTTGGAAATGGAAACTGCAGCCCCAGAGAGGAGCCAGGTCCAAATTCCCGACTGCAGTTTGAGAGGACGACTTCTGACCAGTACAGCCTCACCATTCAGGGAGCCCGGCCGACAGACGCAGGCCAATACTACTGCCATGTAGAGGAGTGGCTGCTCAACCCCCGCAAAGCGTGGTACCGCCTGGCCACCAACAACTCTGGGCTCACTATCGTCAATGTAATACAACAAGGTATGTCCTTAATTAACTAAATCCTTTAAGCCTTCTGAATGTCAGCAAAAATAAACACTGTGACAAACTCTACTTGTATCAATGGCTGTCTTCAAATTATAATACTTGCAATTTAGTACCGGGAAGCTTCTTCTCAGATAGCACAAGGTGTAATTAACCGCTGCTTCTTTGAATGTTTCTTCTTATAGCATAAATTGTCATATTGCCAAATTGTAATTGGCCCTCTGTGTTACAGTATATGTAACTAGAGAATATTATGGTCCAATTAGGGAGCTCTCAGGTACATTTTATGTCATCCTTGGATGATATGGCTTCCCCACCTGCAGCATTTATTTTAAAGAGAGCAGAGGCAGAGATGGCTACCTACTGCTAGGCATTAAAGCTGATGAGTGGTGTAAAAAGCCCCATCAATAAAACATCATGTTTAAATGTAAGAGGCATATTTTTCATTCTAAAAGAGTCATTGAGCCAGAATACACATTCTTTTTATGGTTTTCTGTTTTTTCTGTGAGAAATGTTGATTGGTCTATTGTTTGTCAACAGTGTCCACCCTCCAGTCAGTGGTTTGCTCCAACGACTCGCTCTTCTACTTCGTCTTCTTTTACCCCTTCCCAATCTTCGGCATCCTCCTCATCGCTGTGCTGCTCGTGCGCTTCAAGAGCCGCGGCCACAGCAAGAGCCAAGAGGGCAAGAACGGCGCCCCCCTCCTGTGGATTAAAGAACCTCACCTCAGTTACTCTCCCACCTGTCTTGACCCACCTGCGCTCAGCCTGCACCCTGGCTCTGTTGATTAAGGACACCCACCCCCCACCCCCCTCTGTCTCGCAAACATCGCGGATCCAGCCAACACAATGCCAGGGAGCAGATCTGGACTCCACCTTCAGACCTTACTGTCGTTCACTGCTGTCTTGAATTAGTCAATCAGTTGATCACTTTAAAAATCCTTACCCTGGTGGCTGCCTGTTTTACGTTAACAATTGTGTGTTTCTGTTTGTTTGTTTGTTTTATTTTTTGATTGTGTGTATGTGTGTGTATGTTTGTGGGTGTGTGTGTGTGTGAGAGAGAAAGTGAACTAGAATGGGTGTTAACACGATTAATTGTGCAAGTTCGAGTTGAAGGACAAGAGAGTTTCATGAGCCTCTCACCTTTTTGTTTTCTGTGAAACTCATAGCTGCATTTTGATTTGTATTACTCTGAATATTTGTTTATTTTTTAAGAGAGAGAAAAAAACTGCGCACATGAGATTGGCCAATCCGGTAAGAACGTTTTAAGAGAAGGAACTCTATAATCGACTCCGGCAATGAGTTGATGCCAAAAAAGTCTCCACACTGATCCAAGAGCAGCCACAGCCTGGCCCACTATGTTGGTTGCCATAGTGATTCACTGCGCCCACTGACTCCATAGCTGATGACTTGGTTGCCAGCCTGCATAGAGACAAAGGCAAGGACACACAAGTCAGTGTCCTAACTGAGGATGTGTGTATGTGTGTTGGCCCACCTGCCTCCACAATGAATTTGCCTTGGCAGACAGAAACAGGTCCTCTTGCTCCACTTAAACACTGCCAGACACTCTGGCCTTAGCGAGAGACGCTCTCCTCCTTTCTCCTCTTCCTCTCCGAGAAGAGTCAACAAGAGAAGGAGAGGTAGGAACGTCAGAAATGATGAGGACTAAACGAATGGCACTCTACTGATGAGGATTTACTGTATGTACTTGGACATGAGGGATTTTTTTTAATTTAATTTTTTAGTGCCAAGACCTCCTTATTTCCACACTGTTCTCTGCAGCTAATGTTTGAAGTTTTAAACAGAGTGGGAAGCTGATTGCTTTTTCAAGCAGATTGTACATAATGTCTGCTTACCTCCTGCTGTGGGTTTATGGGCCTAGAGGGCAAAAGGGCAATTCTTAAACTCGTGTTAAATCATTTCAATTGTCCTGCTTACGTCACACAGTGGGCACTGACTTTAAATTATTGCACATTTTCTTTAAGTTGCCCAGTATGACCACTCCGTCCAGTCTTTTAAAGATATCAAAAGATGCGTATTAGTTTTAAGAAGAATCACTTTTTATTTGTTAAGAGCCACACTGAAGATTCATTAAGTGTAGTAAAACACTTCAAATGTTATCTGCACATTGTAAGAAAACAAGTTGATGGGCAATTGTTTGATTGTTTATTTTAAATTTTCTATTTATTGTTTTTTACTACTTTGCATAGCTTTGTAAGATTTTCTTTTTTGCTTTGAAATTCTCTAAGAACTGTGCTGCTTGTGTTGCCAGGCAACTGCACCAAGCAGATTATGTCAATAGGCTGTGTGTTGGCAATGTGGTAGATGTAGAAATGCTAGATTTGTCCTGCTCATTGCAGTCTGTAGCATTTCATACCAGATTGTCATGTTTGGTCAAGTGTCAAAACACTGTATATCTATATCTATACTGAAAATTACTGTGGCTTGACATGAACAATAGTTGAAGAGACAAGTCACACAAATGAATTCACTTATTGCTTTTTGCTTGAGCCGCGTTTATTTAGTGAAATGTAATGTAACACCTAGGTAGGATGTTTGATCAAAGACAGCTGAGGATGAACAGCGTCTTCTAATCTTGGATTCTAGCTGAAGGCGTCATCCTCAGCTCCCCTGATGCAAGGCAGAAGGCTTGAACATCTGAACCTTGGAACGCAACAGGAGGGAAATCCTCCACCGACCTGGGCCTAACCCTTTCACTGCCAGACTGGACATGAAAACTCTTGAAAACCTTGACATTGTTGTCTCAATCGTGTCAACATGTATATTGCATGACAATACTGCAGGAGGAATTTTGATGTTTTGTAAACTTTGAACTCTTCGAGCATTGTGTTTGTGTGACAGAGCAGTGCCCCCAATCCTCGTCCTATCCCTCACCTTCACCAAGTTCCTGAGCCAAGAGTCGACACAAAGTCCAGTTCCCTCGTCATCTACAACATGTGACTGCCAATTCCAGATGCCCTTTGAAACCTGTGAAATAATCTATTTCAAGAATGGATGTTGTGCAGATTGTGTTTGATATTATTGCTCATAACTGTCTTTTTAATGCTTTGCTTTTATGCAGCACTTCATTAAACTGATTTATGTCAAAAAAAGCCAAAAGTATGCAGCCGATACTGACACAAGCCACAGAGTTGTGAGAGCTCAATTTTCTTCACTTTTATTCAAGGTAACCAGTGCATTCAAAGTAGACTCACTATACCACATGGAGTAAGACAAGTCATGCACATTCAGTGAATTCAGCTAGATTGATCAGGGCTCATTGATTAGTAGTGTGTTTATAAGGGGTACAAAGTGTTGGACTAAAGCAGCACACACTGAGGAAAAAAGGAAACTCATATTGAATATTAAAAACACTCAAGTAGTTATTGAGGCAGTATTTTGACCATCGGAGTCTCTGTCAGGCAACCGTCCGGAAAAAAACTAAATGACAATTCCATATAAGGAATTTCCATAGCCCAAAATAATATCCACTTTATACATAAACTAACTTGACAACTATGTTGAAGCTGGGAAATATACTATGCAGGGTAAATATTTATACACACTTTTGGCACATGTACAATGACAGAAATATGTACAATATTGGGATTTTGCATGAAAAGATTATAATTTTGTGATCTATTCATTAGAGGTGGAGCGGTTATTTCCTCTGTATATATATCGCCTGTTTTCCTCACAAATGGCTCTTTGCCTAACAAAGACCTTGGTGACCAAAATGTTGCCTCATTAAATTGCAATATTCAGTGTGCGGACGACTTCTCTTTTTCCATTACCAACAGTCTTTAGCCTCCTGTTGTTATTTGATATAATGGTAGTGTGATTTAAAGTACATACTGTATATCAAAATGGCAGGAAAGCCATTCTGTGCATTTTCCAGCCCGAGTATCATCAGGAATAATTGATGGAGCCGTTGGAAAGGTCTTGCGTGATTTGACAGTAATGGTTGCATATCTTATTGACTTGCATTTGCATTGGCGGTAAAAGTAATAGAGAGCTGATTTCAGTTTTTCATAAGCAGAAAATAATCTACTGAGCGTATTTGTTTGCTGAATGATTGCCTTTTATAAATCTTGAACATTCCCAGAGATGCAGGTTGTGTAAATGGTGCCACTGAACAGCTGCTTCAGCTTCAGTGAATTAATCCTTCACTTGAATCATGCAAAATGTATTTAATCTTTCTAGACTTGATTAAGGAAGTCCAGGGCATGGGGTGTTATGTCACAGTGCTGCTGCCATCACTGGAGCTGTACAGTCCAACTGAATGGTGTTTTTTGTAGTAATAATATAAATACCACCCATAGCTGCCTCCCAAGATTCCTCCGAACGTTCTGACAGTGTTGTAGCTGCGTTTTGAGGGCTGCATGTATTGGCTGTGTGCTGGCTCCAGATTTAGGTGTAAGATAGTTTGTGGTGATGTTTTCAGTTCAGCCAGTAATGCTTTATTTACAGTGATGTATTTTTATATGACCATGTTTTTTTCATTTGTTATTATATCCAATAGTTGCCATCGTGACCATTAAAAAGCCACTTTGCTATTGTCAGTTTATTGCAATAAAATACATTCAGTGCATCTTCCTGTTTCCCCTCAAACTATATGTGTTTTGCAGCATTTGGAAATATTATATGAAGCTTATTTAAACAACATTTTGATGCAGATTTATCACAACCATGATGTACTAGAAACTTCCAGCAACCGTTCCAAATATAGTTCTGCTTTAACTGAAAACTTGAGGTTAATGTCCTTCAGGCAGCTGCATGGTCTTGTTGAGTCGGCGTTGGATTTTGACCTCTGAGCCCCTCTACAATATTGGAGTTTATTATTTACTCCACATGTTCACTTGGGTCTGTGTGTGTATGTGTTTTTTTCAGATGGAGAGAGAGAAAGAGAACTATTGGGTCAGCATGTCAGAGGATAAATGAGGCTTAGGTCCTCCTGCAAGTTAACCGGGCACCTTTTTGACAGCCTCAGCAAATCACATAACTCACCCAATGCAGATGGACTTATTCTTTCTCCCGTTTTCTTGAACACACACACGCTCACACACATAACTACCCAGCAGTAAACAGCAGTGTCCCTCCCGTCCATAGCATTCATAAAGTTCTCTCTGTCTCCCTCTCCCATGAATTCATATTAACTCATATTGATGAATGCATACCCAATGAAGCCAAGAACAAATGCTCCCACTTGTCCATAAATCATGGTGACAGAAAGGAAAAACAACATTCAGCTAGAAGAAAACTCATAGTTTAAGCTTTACTTATAGAGTTGCTGAAATGTTTTCTGGGTTGTGATGCATGCAGGTTTCCCTGAAAGAGCTTTAGTCAACTCTTGAGCAAACAATCCAACTGAAAAAGCCCCCACATTTCAACTTCTATCGATGCTTCTAGCACTGATACCAGCCGCACTGATACCAGCCACACTGATACCAGCCACACTGATACTGCTGATGTTAAGTAACATCAGCAGTAACATCTGTGAAGTTCTGAGGTCCATCACAACTTCACAGGATGAAGAGAACACTGAGCCATATCTTCTTGTCCCACTTTCCACCCAAAATTTTGCTTTCCTTCTACATTTTTCTCAAGCGCACACCCTAGAAGAGAGTTCTGTTTTGCATAAAGTAAGCAACACTCACACATCCATAGTCCTCGCTGACGCAGATAGACGCACTAGAGGGCAGACAGTAGGATCCAGAGCAGCAGTCATGGCAAATATATCATGATTTATTACAAGTTAGAGGGACACACTGAAGAAAATGCAAGGACAGTCTCCTGTGGCCATTGTGGTGGGCTCAAATGCATCAAAGCAAGGACAGAGAGAACAATTCATGCAGATTGGTAAAAAATCCAAAGCCCACACAGGTGATATAATGCTTATGTACAAAAAAATGTTGATTTACCAACACATAATGTTCAGATTGAGGAAAAGCAGAGTGTGTTCTGTTCTTGGTGTTGAATAGATAAGGGAGGCAGAGCTACGACATTAACAGCTTGTAGAGTGTGACTAGTCTTTTGAGGCCTGTGCACAGCCTGTTGCATTCCCCTTCTTTTGATTCCCGGTGCTTTGTGTGGTAGAAATACTGTGATGTAAGAGTGAGTCAATAAGAACAGCGAGAAATCTTGTACATGAACTGTAGCATTCACATCTTGAGTAGTGCCTGGATTTGTCTCTTAATGGTTGAAGTAAAGGGAAAATGTAAGTGAGTAATACAAGTAGGCGAACAGCACCGCCTGAACTGCTAAAAATGGCAATGCAAGTGGCTCTTGATGAATTAGCAGTAGTCGGTAATATCGAGGGCAGTTTGATTTGTGTAAATTATGTAGGAAATCAATAGTTGTATTATGAGCCTGTTTGTTAGGGCTGTTCATTGGAAAATATGTTTAGAGTTTGCCTTTAATTATGGAAACTGAATCACATGATTGACTTGAACCACAATATACACAAGACACCTACTGACACAAGAACAACAAAAACACTGATGGTCCCATATCATTCATTATAGATTAAAAACATGCACGGGCATAAAAACACACAAACTGTCACGCACACTGAAATATTCTCACTTCATCTAAAATTGATAAAGTAAAATTGTGTGTTTACTTCCACTGGCTCTGCCTGCGATGGAGGAAACTGATGCTGAGTCTGCTACTAAGGCACCGTCCCCTGGGCTCTCTGCATTTAGTCGTTCTTTTCTCTGAGGCCCTATACGTGTCTGGAGATTCAGATGTAAAGCTAATTAACTGTTCCAGGCATTCGTTGTTTTATTTGTTTTTAGTGAGAATTTAAATGAACATTTAAATACCTGATAGTTGGGATAACCTTGCTCAAATGTATAATTTATGAGGGAAATTATGCCAAGGCTGCACTTGTCCTGACTGTACGCTGTTTTCAAATGTGGTTAATGCATGTAGAGGAGCAGCAGTAGATGGAGGGGAGATACTAGTCCTGATATAATTTTAAACAAGATCAATAATCAATAGCCTGCTACGGACTGTGTGATGCTATAAACAGCAGCACTTTTAGCTAAATGCTAACAATATGTTCAATTTATGCAGGGTTCACTATGTTAATCAAATGAGTTAAAGGTCCCATGTCATGCTTTTCCGGTTATTACCCGTCCCCTTGTGTGTTATGTAGCTTTTTATGCATGTAAACGGTCTGCAAAGTCACAAACCCTCAAAGTACACCCTGTAGCGAGTAAAACTCTAACACAGAAAAGACCTGTCTATGCTGCCCCAGAACGCCTCGTTGGAGATTTTTCTTTTCCATTTTTTTCTTCCTGAGTATGGTGACGTAACCATGCCCAGGTCAAAATGGACCAATCCGTGGAGCTCCTCACACACACACACTCACTCAGCCTTATCTTTTCTCAGCTGTGGCTCTGCGGATTTCTCAGCCTGAACTCAGCCTGAGGCAGACCCCACGCAGCAACCAGGAAACGACCCCAGTAATCCAGCTCACACTGTCCGCTCCAGCAGCGAGCCCCGCAACGTCCCGCCAACACGGCACCCAGACCCCACGCAGCATTCTCATCTGTTTGTCATTGCTGGTGTCATTTTCTGGTTGCTAACGCCATTGTAACACATAATCACTGATGTTCCGCTGTAACGGTGGTGGACTCATCAGAACAGAGTGGGCGAGCTGACTAATCAGAGCACAGTGGGCTCATAGGGAGGGGGGGGGCAGGAGCTCCAACAAGCCGTTTAGGACAGAAAGTGAATACACATACAGAGATGCTGTATGAGAAACCAATGTGAGTTTGGAACATTGAACGATGTAAATCTATTCTAGTAGACCTCAACAGCATTCGCACTAATGATGCATCAAACGAGGAGAGAGTAGGGAACTGGCTTTAATTTCCTTGAATCCATCATAAACCTGCTACGTTTTTTGTGTGGCTATATAGTAAGAGATCTACACAAGCAAATGAATATTTATCACCATCTCTGAGAGAAAGTAAGCTCAAAATATCAGCACCACAGTGTTTGCCCTTAGGCATTTTACAGTGCAGTGCTGAAAGGCAGCAGGGTAGATATCTGCCCTTTCACATTGAACTTAGTTATCCATCATAGGTAGAGCACATATACTGAACAGTAGCCTACCTTGCTGCAGGGCAAAGGGATGTTTTGTAATGTTGTTCTAAGCAAGTTGTTTTTTAATTGTTAATAGGACTGTGCACATTCAATCAGATGAGGCATTTATGCATAACTAAAAGTGGTAACAACAGCGAGCTAATCAGCAGTGTGCATCTTGTTCTCCTGTGGGAAGCCGAGTAATTATGAATGAGCAGAAGAAGGCAAGGCGAGTTCACTAATATGCCTTTAGTGCTGAAGATGTGGAGAGAAGTGGAAAGATGTTGTTTTACTATATAATGATCGCAGAAAGGGGGAAGGGTGAGTCATGAAGGCAAGGAAAAATGCAGAAGGGAATATAGATGGTACAAAATGAATGGCAGCAGAAAAGTGCAGGAGTGGAAAAAGAAGCGAGGAAATGTTTAAACCATGTTCCCATGAGACAAACAGCTATTTCAAACAGTGTCTTTGGATAAGGCCGTTGAATATCTGACAGCGTATAATATACAAAGGTTTCAGTAATTTCTCTCTCATGAATGTGGTTAAAGAGGCTTGGATCATGCTTGAGACCCTGGTGTAAAATCTCCAGATGTGGATTCTACTCCCACTCGGGATTAGCTGTTTCCTGTAGTGGTTTGTGTTCCTGTGGGTGAGGAGTAGCCAGCTTTTGGAGGGACCCGCTGTTTGGTGATCTGACCACATGCGCTGTGTGGATGTTCAACCTGTGGCACTCTGTTGAAGTCTGCACACAGAGTCTCTCAGACATTCCCTCACGGCGGTGCTCTGGAGATCAAAAGCTCCACATGATGGCCGCCTGACTCCTTTTTGGTGTGAAATCTGTGTGTGTGTATTCTCAGATGTCTTCTGTACATGCTGTGAAAAATGGAGGTGATTCTCACATGTGATTAGTAGGAAAGGCCAAGTGATCCTCTCCGTCCCAACCACCCCCCCCCCCCCCATCTATTACTGCTTTTAACTGCAAATTACAGTACCTGTGGATATGGTTGTCATGGCACCAGAGCGGGAAGTCTCTCATGAGGGACTTTGATGTATAAGTTAGGGCATGTGAGATATGTCTGTGTCTTCCATACACTCAATCTTTTATTTACACCACTGCTGCTGCGCATATTTCTCTTTCTGCATTTTAAGTTTCCACAATAAATCAACTCATTGTGTGTAGACACTGCATGGTAATCTGGAGAGAGAAACTGTCAATTAACTGAAAATAATACAACGACATGGCTTAAGGAGTGTGGAGCATGTGTAGGTGCTGACTGCTCCCTCACATTGAATCATGTCCCTGTTTTTGCTAGGCTACAGTGACACTGGCATACAAAACGCCTGTCATCATCCATTAGAACAAAAATCGGTCACAGAAGATTCCCTCATGATGTGCAAACGCATGTATTACAGTATACACAAAGTCTCTCGTCACATGCACACGCTCCATAGAAACCTCTCTAACACATAAGACAATGAAGGGGAGAGCAAAATGAT